TATATATATATATATATATATATATATATATATATATAAGGGCCTAATCAAATAAAAACTGATTAGTTTGTGGTAACCGTGATGTTCAATCTCAACCACAAATCAATAGATAAATTAGGAAATTTATAATTTTGGTACTTTTTAATTAAAATTTTAATGTAAGAACATTTTAGGTATTTTCTCTCCTCTCTCCTCCTCCGGCCACCGTCATCTGGTGATACCACAGTGGTATCACAATGCATCTTATATGTGATTGGGTATCACACTGTGGTTGTTTGTGCGGTCGATCGGATATGTAACACAGTGGTATCACAATGCAYCTTATATGTGCTTGAGTATCACGTTGTGGTATCACCGGAGGACGGTGGCCGGAAGACGGGGACGGAGAGAGAAGAGAGGAGAGATGATAGATGTAATAACCCAAAAAAGAGGAATTGGTAGTCGTTAAATTTCAAGGGCTTATAGTGTAAAGCGATCAAAGTGAAGAGTTTAGACCCTAAAATTGAATGTAATTAAATGACAGGAAACCCAATGATCATGAAACCTACGACCATTAATATTGCCTTATCATTTCATATTCCGTGAAACCGTCGATGACTAAGTATATATATGGGGAGGACTTCAAGCATAGAGATGACAAATTCTCGGGGAAGGAAACTCATATAAGAGAGGTGAAAGATGGGGATGATTTGRTGAAGCGCAACAAGTTTATGCGTTTTTTGGGGAGAATATGATGAACTTCGAGGAACGGTTTGGAGTTATGACCTGTATGGTGAGTTACACGTAGAGATGGCCAAAAACCGGTCCCGGGCCGGTCCCAATCGGTCCTCACCTTTTTCATAACCGGCCATAACCGGTCCCGGCGTAACCGGTCTCGGTTGAAAATGATAGGACCGGTATAGGTACTTTATAACCGGTTATGAGCCGCCGGTCCCGGTCCCGGTCCCAACCGGTCCTTACATTAAAAAAATAAGATTTTTATTTTATTTTTTTAATGATATATATTTTTAATACATTATAAAATTTACAATCGAGTCACTCAATTACACTTTAAAAATGCGTTTTAATATAATTAAAATATACGTTTTCTTATAAAAATACATTATAAAATTATTTAAAAATACATTTATTTATAAAATTAATTGAATTTTCAGGCCGGGCCGGGCCGGTCCATAGTCGGTCCCATAACCGGTCCCGGTCCCGGTCGGTCCCGGTCCCACGAAACTACCAAAAATCTTAACCGGTCCCGGTTTTCGGTCCCATAACCGGTCCTTACCGGTCCCGGTCCCGGTCCCGGGCCGGTCCTTTGTCGGTCCCATAACCGGTCCTTACCGGTCCCGGTCCAGGGCCGGTCCTTTGTCGGTCCCGGTCCCGGTCCTCCGGCGGTCCCGGGCCGGGCCGGGCCCATTTGGCCATCTCTAGTTACACGTGATTTATTTTAAAATAGTTGCATGCCTTATTATCCACAAGTTGCTTGAAGTTTCTCGAGATTTTTGATATGTTGTATATACGTGAAAAGTTCGATATTTTTTATAATATGTGTTTTAAGTATTTGTGTGTCAATGGGGATGTACTACGATATGATTTTGTAAAGATGAGCATGCTTTGTAAGCTTGTCTAAGCCGTAAGTGCGGACATGCTGTGTGAGTTCGCCAGGTAATGTTGTGTGAGGTAGACATCTCTCATGACGCCGTTGCTTTGTGATGTAGACACGCACTATAATATCTTTATTTTGTGAAAAATATTATTCTCATCAAGGCATGCTAATTTATGAAACTTCGTGAAAATTGTTTATTATAAAAGTTGTTGTTCATGCATGAAAACCGTGGATTCACTGGGCCTAAAGCTCACCCAAAAATCTTTTAAAACTTTTTACCCAGACGGCTTTTGAATGGAAATAAAAGTGCAATAAAGAGAGATAATGATTAACTTCAAAGAAGGATATGTGCAGATCAAGACAGTGTTATATAGAACAAAGTTATGCTCCTCAAGATTGTAATTAGATGGTGATATAATTTGTAAGATTAAAAATTTTATTTCCGCTGCAATGTAAGTGTTTGATCTTGGGATACTAGTTTTGATATATTTAAGTATTCGAAATTTTGGGATGTTACAATAGAAAATACCTAAAATGTTCTTACATTAAAATTTTAATTAAAAATTATTAAAATTATAAATTTCCTAATTTATCTATTGATTTATGGTTGAAGTTGGATCTCACGATTATCACAAACTAATCAGTTCTCCCTTGAATGAGCCTCTATATATATATATATATATATATATATATATATATATAGAGAGAGAGAGAGAGAGAGAGAGAGAGAGAGATAGATGTGGTGAAGAGTGGAAGCAATTCAAGAGGTGGAGAGGGTATTTTTGTAGATATATATGTAGGGGTAAATTCGTATTTTATTTTTGTAGATATATTGGTACCATCACATGTACAAAGTAGATATATTTGTAGGGGTAAATTCGTATTTTATATTTTCAAATGGATAACTTTTATTAAAAAACAATATCTGAATCGTTAAGATGTAATTTTTGTTTGATAAAAAAAAGTTTGATTCTTAATAGTTATAAAAACCCTCTTGATGATTTTGTATCATGAGCTCTCCTTTAACCATTCAGCGTCCTAATTTCATCGTAAACAATTACCAAATAATTATATTTTATTATAAGAGTCTCTTAATCATTCTGATAACTTAATCAATGTAAGTAATTTCAACTCTTTTTTATTTTGATATCAAATTACTTCATGATCAAATTATATCCTACCAAACCTTGGCCCACCATTATTTGCAAAATTGAGCAAAAGACGGTACTTCTTTAACCAAAATCATACTACTAGAATGTATCGACATAAGAAAATCATCCATGTCAGCAAATATTACAAAAATAAGTAGGTTAGCAGTCAAACATATACATAGCAAGAAAGATTAAATGTCTGTTATATTATTTAAAAGAAAAATATCATCCGTTACACTAAATAACAAATTTCATTACATTTTACTCGTTTTAATGATATCAGAAATCCCTAGTTGGTTATGTATGCAAAAGAATTGATCAAATGGAGTAAGTAGAGTTGTTTATATGTATACATACGATATATATATATATATATATACATACAAGATATATGTATATATATATTATATGGAGAGAGAAAGACATAAGAGTGAGGGGAGGAGAGATTCGGGGAGTTGGAAGAAAAGCAAGGCAAGCCATTACTTCACCACCACTCTCTAATTCTATCTCATCAAGTTGCTAGCCTGTATGTGTAAACACGGAATCTCCGCTGCTTTTTCAATCCTTCTCATCATTATAATTAATTCATGTTTTTTAATTTTTAATTAAACCATAATTAATTTTCTTTATGATAATAATTATTAATTAAACCATAATTAATTTTCCTTATGATAATAATTATTAATTAATATATATATGACACATAACTGATTACTTGACAACATGTTGTAATAATTATTGATAAATAAAATATATTAAATTTATAATGTGAAGTGTATCCTTTGATTGCAACATGGAAACCGTCACCCTAAGAGGAGGAAAGGAAACTACCATCATTATGATTAATTATTAAATTAATAACAATGTATTATTTATTTTAAAAAGTCTTTAGTGAAATCTCAATAAATAAATAATTACTTACTTATAATAATTTCGTGTACTCTTCACCTATCTACTTTACAGCTTCTTAAGCACAATCCTCTACCCTCACCCCTATCATTTGCCTCTACTTCACTAAATAATATATATTATTAACCAATAACATAATCAGAATTAATAAAAGAACGTAATTTTATGTACGGTTATAGAATATAGTTAAAGTAAATATACGGAGATGACTTGACCTGCCATGGGCATATGCATGTTGGTGACGAATATAAGTGGTGGTAAAAATAATTTAGCTAAAATACCTACAACGCCTTCACCAATTAAACTCTAATGTCCTTAATTCTGAAATTCTCAATCCAATAAAAGTCATCTCATTTTTCTTATTTATATTTGCCATGATACTATTAATTTGATAACATATTCAGTGGTTCGTTTGATTAATTAGTTAAATTTTACATTAATATGTAATATGTCCACTTGTTTTCAACTTAACCCAAGTAGTAACACATATAAACACTAGTACAATGTGTTTAGTTTAACCAAAATAGTAATAAAATAACCAAAAAAATGAACCGAACAAGTTATCTTTATCGGATTAAGCAAACTGAAAATCGAATAACCTTAAGCCATTTTGGAAAAGATTTCTTATCTTAATTCTCATTCTCACATGATCCTTCGCTTATATATGAAAAAAATGGATGAAAAAAATTAAAGATAATAAAGTGATTGATTTCTCGGCATAATTTGTTTTATATAATATTTTAACGTTATGATACAAATGCAATTTACAAAAACAGAGTAGTGAAATGCTGAGTATTTTAACCTACTTTTCTTTATATCGTAACTATTTTCATCAAAAATAAAAAATAAAAAAACCCAGTTTTTAATAAATTCTTATTATGATTCACAATTGGAATTTGGAAGGAAGTAGAGTGTTAAGTTGTAAATTCTATTCTAAGCTAATAGTTAGTGGTAGTGAGTGAGTGTAGTATGTGAATTCAATTATTGAGAGAGAAAGGCACGTAAAAGCAGCTGTATGAGGGAGGCCAACAGAACAATCACTTTAACATGGCCTTCTCTCCACTCTCTTTCATTCACATACACATACCTACAATATTGTTTCATACTTTCAAATATTTAAAATTGATTTGTGTTGATAATTTGTATTATTAATATCATTGAAGTATAATAAGATTAATTTATTGATCAATGTAATCATGATAAATATCGAATAAGTAAGTAATGTGCGGAGTGCACACTTGTTTGAGTTTATTTTGATTTAGGGACGAAGCCCCTAAACGACAGGGTCCAAGAGGCAGAGGTCCTGGTTAGGGTCGAGCTGTCAGGTCAGCTTGGAAATTTTTTATTCGGGTGATATTGTCTTGTGAAAAATGCATCAGAAATCCGAATTTTAAATTTTAAACCCGGTTTAGGGTTCAAAAAACTGTCGTTTTGACAGTTTCCGTATTCATTTTTTTGAATTGGTCATTTCGTCTTGAGAGGTACACATATCCATAACGATTTGGATTCTCTGTTCTATCAACCACTGAATTTTATCCGATTGAGATTTCGATTGTACCATCGAAATACTTCAATCTGAAAGTGATACACGACTTTCAGTGGATTCCAAACAATCGAAAACCAGAAATTCTAACAATTTGTATATAAAAAAACAGTCTTAAATGTTTCATATTTAAAACAACACTTTATAAACATTATATTTTCATAGATGAAAAAATAGTTTGTAAGTTTATATAAATTATTAGGTGTGTAACAGAAGACAAATATATATTATATAGAGAGAGAGATGCTTGGTAACAACTCAAGTTGACATGGTAGCTTATACAAGGAAATCGTTGCAGATATTTAGGGATGGAAGGAGTTTTTATTCTTTTCTTATTATCAATATATATATATATATACTTTAAATACAAGTAGCCACTCCAAACAAGTGATTAGCAGTTGTTGGCAATGCACACAACTAAGCAGGAGCTGACTTTTACAACATTAATTAAATATAACAGTCCACAGATCCCAACTGGCTTGCATTGCCCTCTTGTACTCTACAAATGAACTATGCATCTCAATTTACCTGCATTGTGCATCATCCACTTGTACGCTACAAACAGACCATACATGCCCCTGTAAGTCCGAATTGCTTGTTCAAGATTCATAGAATCAAATATAACAATAGTAAACCAAACAGACCCACAGTAAATCTCATCCGGGTCTGGAAAGGGTAAGATGTAACCCTAAAAAGCCGACGCTTTTTCTATCGAGGCTCAACAAATACAGCAGCAGTTCTTGAAGGAACCCAGAAGCATCCTAATGATGGATCATATGTAGAATTTTCGGTTGACATCATCTGAAAATAGCAACCAACGCCGCTTCAAATTTAAGGCCGCCATAATAATATGCAAAAAAAGCCATAAGCAATACCAAACTACAATGGAATAAAGATTTGAATCCAAATGGAATTCTAAACTCTACCTGTACTGGATGTAATTGGAGAGCTTTTCCTCGTAAAACAGGGCTTGCAAATGAGATCTCAGTTGGGCAAACATTGATAACGACCACGATGTATGAATACCTGTTATCGAAAAAAATAGAATCTTGATTCAATCATTAAATGATATCGAGAGGGTAACGAACACTAAAAATCACTCACATTGGGTCAAGTTGAGACAACCCCGCAACACCTTCATGGCCGTCTTCAATACTCATTACTATTACACCAGGAATCTGTGACACACCAGTGTTGTGGAATCGTACTCGTTCCTGGATGAATGTTCCGTTAGTGTTTGTGATGAAATGTCTGATCCTAGGTTCTTACCCTTGCATCTTTGACATGGACCGTCCCTATATTGTTCCGAATTTTCAAGTTTTCATTAAATCAAAGCATTCATGGTGGTCTAAACACTGACCTGAATAGCATTTGCAGTCCTCAAACGCAAGAGAATCGAAGAGTATCTGATACGTAGCAAGTTTTGGAAATTTTCAAGAGCAGATAGTATGTGACTTTTCTGAGGCTTGAACAATGGGGAGGCCAATCTTGGTTTGATTCTGCGAAACAAGTCATCCAAGTTATTCATACCAAGAAAACTGCAACACTTGTGATGTATCATAAAATTACAAGATTTCCTTCTTATGGGATGTTTCATGTTAAAGTTATTAATTTTCCCATTACAATTAAGTTGCTGGTATTTATTTGGGTCAAGATTTCTCTATTTGTCTTCACTGAAAGTTAATACCATATATTTGATATACTGAAAACAGACTAAACAATGGTGAAAATAAGATCTTACATTGGCCAGCTATTTTCGTTCTTCCCTTTTGGAGGAAGGCCAACACCCCAATTATTCGAGCTGTAGCTAAAATCTAACCTGAAAAAGATGACTTGAAGACGTAAAATTAACGTAGTGGGGTTTTTTTTTTGCACATTCGGATGGTATGGTTTAAGTCGGCAATCATTTGTAATCCAATGAAGAGAAATCATGGAAACTGTACCTGTTGAACCAGTCACCAGAATTGTATGAGTCACGGTCCATAGACTTGGAACGTAGTATCTCGTCTCCACAATGGAAAAATGGAACACCCTGCAAATTTTCAGTTTTATTGGTTTGTTATGAGAATATTTGATCCTATCATTATTCTTTTTCTTTGGGACGGAGGATCAATGAACTACGGTCAAAGAAAAATCACAACCTGGGAAAGTGCTATCACACTTGTTGCTAAATGATTTATCCTGCACCTCTCGTCAACAGAAATTTCCATGGGTGTCTTTGACATTAAAGGAGGATCGTCAGAATGAAATATATAAAATGCAGGGACATGGTTTTGCACAAACTAAACGTACCTTCAAACTAATAATATCAAAGAGGGTCTCGTTGTCATGAGCAGACACATAGTTAATCTGAAACATAGCAGAGCCACCAGACGTTCAATAAGCAATCAAAGGGTATACAGATATGTTTTTTAGATGCAACAAAACCTTACTGTTTCCACCGGTTGTGAAGCATATCCAACAGGAGATCCACCATAAGTTAAAACTTCCGATCCTTTAACCTAAAACCAGAGACCAAAAACATATAAATAAGGGGATCCAGGTGCACCAATGGTCCTTGGCTAGCCAGGGTGGTTTATGTGAACCAAACTTGTGACATTCTGATCATAGTAACCTTATAAAATCTGAAATGATGGATATTAATTGAAGGGTAAGATGCTAAAATTTAATGCATGAACTTGAGTTGAGATATATATTTTACCTCTTGGCCATCGCAGTTGGTTAGCACAAAGTCCTTCAGGTTTGCAGCCATCCCAACCTAAAAATATACGACTGTGAATACTCGAACATGAAGCATATCAAGAATTAAGAACTTAATGTAGAACTTAACTGCTATCATTTACAGTCAATCGTTCTTGACCAACCCTTTCGACAAATGACATCGATGTTCATCACTCAAGTATACACTCAAAGGAATTTGGAGAACATGATCCGCATAGTTGATACCGTTTAAGACGTTGATCTTAGTTTTTTATAATTTCATGAAATTATAAATATATAAGGAACCATTTGAGAATGTTTACCTGAATATGATCCTTTGATACAGCAAGTGTATGTGCTGCATTAGCCTCCGTACCATGGTCGTGACCATTTGGCTGTAAAATTGAGTTACAATTATCTCAATCTCAGCACCCACCATTAGCAGAAAAAAGTTACCACTGAAGAAAGTCGCCATCTTTTTGGCTAAACAGGATACAAGACTACAAAATTAAATTGTCCAAAAGAATAGAAATTAAAGAATACATTAGCATTACTTGCAAAGATAATCCTGTGAGAAACCCCTGTTGAAGAGGATGACCAAATGGAGATCCACCAAGCAATGCATCCCGAATTCGATCATTAAAGCTGAATGAAATATATTAATCATTTATCGTTGTCTAAATAAATGTTCCAACTATAATAAATTGATCCATTTTGTGTACCTCCCAATTCCGCTTCCCGCTAGATTGAACTGTGATGCATTTATGCCACGACCATTGTTTGCCACTTCACCAAAGTCCCAACCTTCACCATACCTGAATAGAGGAGAAATTTAAACATAAACCTCAGGAAACAACCAGATACAAAGCCCCCCGCCCCGGGGGCCGATGATGAATGTCTCATCATTTTGCATTGGCAAAAAGCATTGATCGTGCTTTTCAAAGACTGCTTTACACATTCTAAAGARTCAACACAATAGAGACTGCTAAAAAAGCTAACATGTTATAGCTTTACAGTGAAATGACTACAGTTTTGAAGATTATCAATCAGTTGGAAACCATATAATGGTGGCTTCATTCTTACATGAAAATACTTGAACCATCTACTTCGTCTTTGTCCCTTGACAAGTTTCTAAGCAAGCTCTTAGCTCTCATCTGTGATTAGAAAAAAAGAAGTTACAAATCAAACGAAAGCTTCTGTTTTTTAACAATAGCAAGTGCTTTCAGATATCCAAGATTACTTGTCTAAACTGCTACTCCCTCTGTTCGCTTCCTGGGATGTCCCAAAAGAACTGCAACAGTTCTTGTTTTGACAACCTCTTAAAATCTACCTTATCAACCATCTCATTGTCATCATTACAGAGAATTGATGATATTGTTCTGGGCCCACAGAATTTCCTATGTTGTCATTATCGGAGGGTATTTAACACATTTGCTTAATAGTAAAAATTCCTTCTAAACTATGTGATCTATCAAACATTGCAATTTTCATGGCATGGATGGAGGGGTATAAGAGAAAATAAGGTTAGAGTGTCATACCATGGTACTTTTCATCATATGACCCATAAGATCAAACCGGAACCCATCAATCTGTAGGAGATCAGCAATGTGGTATTTAGAATCATAAAAGATGTAAATACAAAGGTAGAATTCGTAGTGGTTTAGGAGTACTGATTCGAACTTCTTAAACATTTTGAGCTAAATAATAATGCAAATGTAGAATTTGTGGTGGTTTTAGGTTTACTGATTTTAACTTCTTAAACATATGGGTTGTTGTGGAAGTAAACATCTCATTGTGAACTCACAGAGTCTGAGGCAAAATGATCTGTTTCAACTTTGTATAATTGAGTAATATACTCTTTGGCCACTTTACTATTAAATTTATTTATTTGGCCCACCCGTCTTACTTTCTGGCCAAAAACAAACTGTTGTTCTAAGCATCTTTTTAATAAGGCCAAACTAATCAAACCACTTTAGTTTCGACCGAAAGTAAGACCTGAGAGCATAGAATGGTTGAAACATGAGGCACAAATGCCACATAAATAATTTTCATGCTCAATTCTTTTTTGCTGTATATAAGGGGAGTGATGGTACTTTTACCTTATAATTGCATGCCCAGTTTAAAAGATCATCAACGATTAGACGATCAACCATAAAATGCTCACTCGCAGTGTTATTTACACATGTGCTGTTCTCAATGAAACCATCTGCATTCCTTCTCAAGTAATAACCTGGAACAATCTATTAGGGAATCCAAGTTAGGCATCTTGCATTCCTATTTGTATACTCCCTCCATCCCATGTTGCAGCATTTTCCATTTTGGGATGTCTTATAAAAATTCCAACATTTCCTCTTTCAGAAAGTTTTTCTAGCTATCCTTGACTTGCCCATCGTCATTGATGCTATTAATTGGGATTCATAAAAATCCATTATTTTGTCACTAATGAAGGTTATTTTAGACATTTGACAAGTAGTCAACACCCTCAAACGTGGCAAATTATATGTTGCAATTTTATGGGACAGAGTCAGAGAGTACCTTTTTCTAATGAACATAGAAACGGAACTTGAGAATCAAATGAACAACCTTGTCAAGCACAGAGTTATCAGCTATGGGCCCACTTCCATGTAAATGATTGTAAACAACATCTAACACAACCCGAAGACCTAAACGATTAAGTGCCTGCACTCCATTATATCACCACAACAATTGTCAACCAAGAAATGAAAATGACAACACCCAAATCCAGTACATCTTTTAATCAGTTTGACTGTACACTGCAAAAGAGGAGTAAAAATATTAACCTGCACCATCTTCCGGAACTCCATTATACGGCATGGACCATTGGGGTCAGTTGCATAGCTTCCTTTAGGGACTCCCCACAGAACAGGATTATAGCTTTTCAATGGAAAATGCAAAAGTATTAGCTTCTATCTATGAGCAAGAAATTTCTAAAATTTTGGACAACCCAAATTATTGCAACACATAATAAAAAATATAATAGAATCATTGTCAAGAATTCAAGAGCATGAATTACCCCCAATTGTATCCATCCTCATCTTGAATGGCTGTGATGTATTCCTGTTGCTCAGCTGAATCTGGTGGCAAAGATTTGAGCATCTCCATATCTGATCTTTTACATGGCAACCACAAAGAGATTCAGCAGATGACAATCTAATGTATTTGAACATTGATTTATCAAACCAAAGGGACTTTGGCCTGGTGGCATCCGGGTTACCGGTAGAACCCAGTCTCCCAGGAGATAAGAGGTTCAAACCTCGCCAAAGGTGAGGAGGGTGTGAGTTCATTTTCCGTATATAAATATTATATACTTACAAAAACACTGATTTATCTAAGTGTTCAAAAGCTATCTTGTGAAGAGAAGCAGCTTTTAAGAAACTTTCAGTTCTTTTCACAATTTAGTCTAACGGGTCGTTTACCAAACACTTACTGATTAAGTGCTTATGGGCAAAAGTAATCACCTTCACTTGCCTTGTAGGGTAACATTCTTGGTCATCAAAATGGATTGTGGTAAGCGCCTTTTACCCGGTAAGCGCTTACCGAGTAAGAGTCTTCTCCCTCACTTACCTTCTTGTTCTTTGTTATGCCTCTTACCGGGTAAGATTCTTTGTCCTTGTCATGCTTACCGGTAAAGTAAGTGACACTCGGTAAGCGGTTACCCGGTAAGAGTGTGGTAAACGGGCCCAAGCCTCAAAGACATCCATAACATGTTGACCACCAAGAATGACCAAATTTGTAACAATATTTTCGTACTGAAGCCACAAAGATGAACCACAAAGCTACATGCTATCATGTGTCTCCTTTCGTATTTCATATTGCACGAATTTGGCGTTAGCTCATTTTAGTACATGTAAAAGAACTTCAAGATGGCAGGTCCCACTATATTGTCATCATCATCAGGACTTATGAGAACATTGTAAATTTGAATAATAAGAATAAAGGAAATGAAGAATTCCTCTTACCCACAAACTTCCATTTGTCCTTCTCATCGTCAACATCGGCAAATTGGAAGGCTGGCAGCAGATGGATATGTGTGAGGCCAGCATCTGACAATTTCTTCAAATGAAGTACACCATTTGAGTCCTTCAACCAAATAATATTTATATGTCAGTGGTGCATTTTGAATGTGTAATAGAGAAGGAATAAGCACACGCCTTATCTAAATTGTTAAAAATTATCTTCTTCATATGTTCTCATCTTTGATTCAGCCAGGTCTTGTGTATTTCATTTTCTTTTTTCTTCAAAAAACCTGGTTATTTTGAGGAAATAATGATGTGTATATCGACTTAGATCGACAAAGCAATGGCTTACAAATTTTGAATCGGCTAAAAAGAATGCTGGTGTATGCATTTGGTCAATAAACATCAATAGAAGAATCACAGTAGGATCCCTGTACTGATGCTTCTTTTCTTGCTAGAAAACATAACTTGGGGATCAGAAGCTACCTGAGAGGTGAAGGCAAGATAACCTCCACGAACTTCAGGATGCACAGTAGGGTCATTAACACTGTATGGAATTATATGTTAGATCAAGAAAAAGGATAAAGAAAAAAAAAGCAAACAAACAATCCCATCGATTCGTTTTTAGCTTCTCCGTGTTTCTTCTTAGCAAAGTGCCATAAATAATTAGTGTTTCTATTGGCCCTGGAGGACATTTAAATACTTGACAATTCCAAGACTTATGTAGTACAAGATGGTCAAAGGTTATCTCTGTTCAAATGTTAATACCCAAGATGTTCTGCAAATTATGGACAAAACTCGGTTCGAACAAATGCTAAAAGTCCGTAGGTGGCTTTGATGCATTTCAACCTTGAGAATTGATGAATCAAGAAAGGAATCTAACACTTGCAATCTTAAAAAACCTGTTCCTTATATGTTGTACATCTAGGCAAGAATCAATTTTCTATAAAGAAAATGAGGCTAATGACACATGACATACCTGAAATCTCTGATATGCAGTTCATAGATACTAACATCAGAAAAATCTGCTATCTCAGGCTTCTCATCTGCCAAATTACCCCATGCCTGAGGTTTTAAAGCATCAGAATCAAGATTGGCTAAAAAAGTCCGCTTCCCATCACCCGAGAGCCTAGCAAAGAAAAGAAAGCAGTGTCTGAGCAAAAACACTACATAATCGGTAACGACCCAAGGAAGGAAACGATTGAGACAGCATACCCTCGGGCATATGGGTCATTTGCAATACATTTTTCTATCTTCAAGGTGCTGGGATGGTAGACAGATACTTCGTAGACATAATAACACCCCTCCCAACTTCTTGGACCATTCACACTCCAAACTCCATCAGACTCCTTAAGTTGGACGATCTCAAGCGCTTCGCCACCAGAGGGTCCACTATAAATTAGTGCACGTACTTCCTGTTTTAAGACACACATGAGCCCAAGAAGTTCCAATAAGAATATTAATATATTTCAGGTGAACACAGAGTAAATAATTAAAAGTGAAGTTACTTGAGCGGTTGGAGCCCATAGAAAAAGTGAGACTGCTTTATTTGAGAAAATAGCACCAAGAGGACCCGTATAAGAGAAAAGGTCGTCAAGAACACCAGGTAGCTGCAAACCAGTAACACTAATGCATTGTCCATTGGCTGCACAATGTAGCAAAAGTGTGAATTGCTGCAAGTAAGAAGCATTTTTACAGGCTATAATCATCTGGAAAAGAAACTACAAGCTATGGAACATGTATCAAGTTTAATTTTTAGGCAATTGCAAAATACTTGTGGATTTCACTTCACCCATAAAACAACAATTACAAAAAGATAACACAAAACATGATCCCAGGTGGCCCTGAGGAACACGAAGTGGCGACCTATGGGGAGGAGCTCCAGGCCTAGCCCCTTTATTTGCCAGTTGAGCTGGCCCTCAAGGTTGATTGAATATCTTTTTAAGGTAAACTACAAGGAGAAGAAGCAGCATAAAATCTTACCATCAAAGAAAGCAACAGCCAACTGGTCTTTGAGTATAGTTTTGGGATCCAAAGCTGTAGGAACCTTAAAAGCTTTATAATCTCGTATATGAGGAAACTTATCTCTCACCTGACGGGAAATCAAGTAAAGAAGCATAATAATACAATATGATATTATCAAACGGATTCTACAACGAACCATAACAAGCAATTAGAAGTCTAAAGAAGGTAGGTCAATAGATAGAGCTTGAAATCAACCATCTTACATTTTCAGGAAGCCTCTGATCATATCTCTCAAGCTCAATGTTCAAATCATAGCCTGTTTGTGGTAAAACGCCAATCTTATGTTAAAGATGCTGTCTCAATTTATAAGAATCCCTGTTCTGAAAGAAAACCAGATGAGCATAAGTGCCTGACCAGCTATAGGTGGAGCACACACCTTCAATTCCAGTTTCTGCAATAGTCAAAGCAGCAGAGCTACTGGAGTATAAAAAACATGAACCACCAACAGCATCCACATTCCAAGCAATAACTGATCTCGAGACCCAGTATGCTCGAGAATAGGATAGGCTATCCTGCAACTGATAAACGGTACTCGTTAAAAGCCTTGCAAATTAGTATGATAGAAAGTGACATGAAACAACAAAAGTGATAACAACAAACCTTTTATCCTAAAATAATTGGGGTGGCCGAAATCAAGGAACTATCAAATAATGGAACAAGTACTATCAGATCATCCCAATAAATGCTACACGGATTCCGCTTCAATTAGTTCCACCCTTGCCTTTCTCAGTTATCATGATTCTGATCCTTTTAATCTTTTTAAATCACAAATCAACCTTGCCAAACTCAACTAAATTTACACACATCCAATGCCCATTTTGCTTCTTGATGGCCCAACCTTCTGTCCTATTCTCATCTTACAAGTTCCATGTCCCCTTCTGAATCCAATAAAAGGTCAATTCTCGATTATGGTAATCCAAACAGTTAGGGGCTTTTAGTTATAGCTAAATCTATATAGTATATGAAATCTTACAAAGGTTGTCCCAATTTTCTACAGAGACCAGAAATTTCCTGACCCATGTCCCAAATCTTGCATACTCGGTATTCTTGGTCAACAATTTGAGGTTATTCTCAACCAAGCACACGTTACACACCTACGGCATTTCCTAAGGGCTAAGGCTACACCAAAGCAACCAAAAAACCCTTACAATACAACTACTATGAATTGTGAATGGGCATTACATTTAAAACTCCATATATCATTATTTAAAATAACCAACGAAAAGAAGCATCTAACTAAGAACCCAAGATCAATCAATCACCCAACTCTCATTTAATTGTATAAACCGATTGTAACCAATTTGATTATCTCGAAATGAATTTATTTGTATAAACCGATTGTAACCTCATTACAGAGTACCCTTAAACATAAAAAGTTAAGATCTCAGAACCCCCATAAAATACAATGTCAACATACGAGTATCAGTAACAAAACAGACTAACACTTCTAGGGCCAAAGAAATCATACTAGTAATAAAAAATAGGAACCTTCGGGGGTGATGAAGCGAGTGAAACTGTTGAACTTGAACTTGAGCAGTAACAATGGTGAGTTCTCATTGTTCTGCATTTGACGATGGGGAGATTGGTTGGGGTAAAAGAACCACTCTGTTTGTTGTGGGTATCGAAGGGAAACCACCTGGACGACGGAGTACGAACGGGGGAGATGATCGCAGGAAGAAAGGCAGAAAAAGATTGGCAGAGAATGGACATTTGGAAGATGACTGAGGTTCACAGGTTCTTGGTTTTCAGTTATTTAAACCAAAGCCCGGTTTGCAACGGATCTTGACCCGATTCTATGCCCGATTGCGAAAAGATAATATGTTAATAAATACAGTAGTTCGTTTCGTACTATTATTTTATTTTTAAATAAAATACTAACGGTAAAAAATTATTTTAATTCACCATATCTTTCAGTTGGGGGATACATTTCATTAAATGATATCTTATATAATTAATTTTAAAAATAAAGGAATAAAAGTAGTTAATTATATAAAAGTTATTTAAGCTATTTATCTAAGGGGCCGTTTACCTAGATCGTTATCCAGTAAGCACTTATCATTAGAAATCGACACTATAATTTATTTTATTGGATAAGATTGTAGCACATTAAAATTGTAGAGAATGCAACAAGTTACCCGGTAAGCACTTATCCGGGTAAGAGTCGTCACCTTCACTTACCGAGTAAGACTCTCAATCTTTATCATTGCTCTTACAGTGTAAGATTTTTGACCATGACCATGTTCATCAGATAAGGAAAATTACTCAGTAAACATTTATCAGGTAAGGTTTAGTAAACGGATTCTAAAATTACTTTTACTATATTTTTTATTTTAATATGATTTATTTTTTTATTTAGAAAGTATTTTATATTTAACGTATTCATAATAATTGTATTTAATTTTTATTTAAATAATTCATTTTTATTTAAAGCAAAATTTTTAAAAAATTATAATTTTCATCAAAATCACATGTGATTTATAAATTTTTTTTTCCAAATTGTTTTCTTAATCACATATGATTTAAAGCTTGAAAAATAATTATTTAAATTAAACAATAAAAAAGAAAAATAATGATAATAGAAATCACATGTGATATGTAGCAAAACACATTTAAAATGTATAAGATTGCATGTATTTCAAAACATAATTCGTAATTTATACATGTCACATATAATGTTGTAGATAACTTACATTTATTTTCCATTATAATCAAGATCATATATGATACATGACGAAAATTATTGATTCTTTTTTGGACAAAAAACGTTGATTAATTGCAGATATCACATATGGTTTTTGAATAAAATTGTACAAAATTATTCCATAAACTATTTCAACAAAAGTAAATATTTTTCAAATGTTGTAAAAAATGTAAAATAAATAAATGAAAATTTTATCATGATTAAATCATAAAATTATAAAAAAAAATCATGAATAGATACCTTAATTAAATACATTGAATAATCTTTATAAAAATAAATGAATTTTGATATATAATTTGTATACAAGAAATGACACATATGCCCTTTTGACTGGTTTTCTAGAAAAGTTCTGTTTAAGACAATATTCAAACAAGCGATTAATCCATAATTATTCTTTTTATTTTATTAAATACATACCGTTTTCGTATGAACCTCTTTCTTTATACACACACATATATATAACAATTCAATCTCATTGTCGGAATGAATTAAAAAAAATTTATGTCGCTCTTTTTTATAATGTTTTAAATAATTATGTAAACTTGAAATTTTATCTTATTTCCATTATTTAAAAAAAACAATATAAATAATATGTTATTGTAAAATAGAGAACAAATCATTAAATTTATCTATTTAAAAAAATCTTTTTTTAACATTAAAAAATAACTTAACTTTAACCATACTTCAAGTTCAAATCGGTGGACTCATATTAAAATAACCTATTTTTATTATCTTTAGATCATATTTAAATATATTATTTAAATTAATAAACTTTTACATTATAAAAAAATACCTCGATAAATATTTAATTATATACAGTAACAAATAAATTATTAAACACAATATGTATTAATAAAGTAAAAATTAAATATTGAGAGGATAGTTTTTAAAATTAAATAAATAAGGGAAATGTTCATGTCATATTTGTGGAGAAACAACTACACAGTCGACTCACATCCTCTCTCCATTTTGTCAAAAGTTTTGTCGTTTTAACGATATGTTGGGTCTATAATACCAGTAAATTTGTGTTTTTTTATCGTGTGAAAAAAAATGTTTTAAGCAGTTATTTTAAAGAAATCTATAAATTTAAAGAATTTTACCTTTTTTTCATACTTTCTACGTTTTTTAAGAAATTTCTGAAAAATCAATTGGAACAAAAAATTCGCTAACAATCCTTAAAATCTCCATTTTCATTATTTTGAAACATCTGTTGAAGATGTTTTCATTAACTTTAAGTGTAGCTTAGCTTGTAAGATTTTGAATTTGTTTTTATGATGGTCCCCCTTAGGAGCCTTTTACCAAACACTTACCCGATAAACGCTTACCGGTAAATTTAACATTATCATTTACTTACCAGATAAGATTTTAGTCCACCAAAACGGTATCGTATGCAACAATTTACCTGATAAGCGCTTTACCGTGGTAAGAGTCGTCGCCTTTACTTATCGGGTAAGACTCTTGGTCATTGTATCTCTCTCTTACCGGGTAAGATTCTTGATCCTTACCATATTCATCTGGTAAGGTAAAATGACTTGGTGTTCACTTACCCAAGTAAGCGTTTGGTAAACGGCCCCTTAGTTGAAATACTCATAATTAAGTTGATCAGTATATTCACAATTATCAATAAAAAAAATTGTTGTTACAGTAAGATTTTGTTCTATCTATATTATTTTTGTAGCTTTTAGTTCTAGAGGAGCGATCAAATGCAAACCACCCAATTTGTACAAACCGTGCAAATCACCTTCATCCGTCGATTTCATTGTTTAATCTTATGAAATTTTTCTATGAAAGTGTTTAATCTTGTGAAATTGTTTCATATAATACTTTTTCGGATGAAGTTGTTTCATATGTAGTTATGAAATTGTTTCATATAACACTAAATGAAATTTTAATAAAACTGTTTCATATATTTCTCTAAAATTAAAATAATGTAATTCTTTAAAATAATGAAAATGATAATATCAATGATTAACACCCTCCACAATAAAAATAATTAATGAACCCCTCATAATTACAAAAAAATGAACAAAATGAAAAATTATGATTAGTTAAATGAGGTTTTATACGGTTTATACAAATAACGTGGTTTGCAAAATAAACCTCCGCTTTAATCATTAATAAAAATGATACTTGAAAATGGGTTTGTTTAGGCTTGAGAATAGATCTCGAACTAGCTTCGACCGACCACCATTTTTGTTTCTATAATCATTAATAAAAATGATATTATAAAATTTAAATTGAAAATTGTTTTAAAGTAAAATAAAATATCATAAATAAAAGTATATATTTGTAAAAATAACTTAATTATTATCTATACTATATTATAAAGCATTTGACTAAAACTCTTAAAAACTCTTAAACTCTTAAAACTTTTAAACCCGTTCATCCCTAAACAATTTCATCCATATCCGATTTCATCCC